TCCATAAGATATATATACATATATATTAAATTTGTATAGAGTTGAAATAATATTAATATTACAAACTTTTAATATAATTTAAATATTATAAATATTTTTAAAAATTTGCAATATATATTTTTTTGTTATTGAATAAGAGGATATTATGTGTAAGAAATGTAGAAAATAAGAGTTTAATATTTTTATTACGGAGTCGCAAGAAAAATCTTTTATTTCTATACATGTTATTCGTTTATTAATAATAAAAGAAAACAAATCCTTTAAATTAGATATTAACTAAAATAAACGCACCATAATTACTTATTAAGTAACAACCAATAAATGTCACCAAAAAATAGGTAACAACCAATAAATTCTAAACGCAGTAATTAAAGAATGAGATATTAAAAAAAAATATCAAATAAGATATAAGAATCTTAAAATAATTGAATATCTAAATAATTTAATTGTTAGTGTCGATTTTAATGCCTTCATTAATGTGGACTTTTTTTTTTACAGAGAAATATTTTCTAAAGATTATCACATTAATGACTCAGAAAATTAAGGAAGATATGAATTTATGATTCTCGAAATCGTGTTGGTAATATCTTTAATTAATATTTTTCAAATTTAAATAATTAATGCCATAATTAATGCCAATGGCATTCATCCGTAAATACATTCCAACTCCAGGATTTATTTGCTAAAAGTCATCCAAAAATGTATATATAGATGTATATATATCTTATGGGAACCATTTAAAAGAAATTTTTAAATTGACTTGAATTATATAGCTTTTAAATAAAAGTATTATTAAAAAGAAAAATAACTAAATAATGTTTAATTTCACGGGACGGGTAATATGATGGGACGGGTTTGGGTTGATATTTATAAAAGATCGTATACCACGGGTGAAATCCTAAAATTAACAATCAAAATAATCTATCAAACAAATTACATTTTGATTTTTTTAAGAAAATATAGCCCTGCGGTGTACCGCGGGTTAAAATCTAGTATGATTAATACGACCAAATTTTGATGAACCCGAAAATTGTGCATAACCTAATTTCTTTTGATTTCGACTTTAAATTTCATGTTTTGTAATTTAGTTTCCTAAGAATTCACATTTTCCTCCAGCTTATGTCTCTGAGAATTTTTGTTGTCCGCAAGATTAATTTTCTTTTTTGGACGTTTGGTTTATGTACGGTTCAATTTCAAATTTCAATAAAAATTTCTAGATAACAAAAAAAGGTTAAAAAAAAATGTTGGAACCAATAATATTAATCTCCGCAATAGGTGGATCCTATTTTAGTATGAACAACATTGAAGCAATAATAGACTATATTTTAAAATATTTAATTCTGTATGTGAGATGGAGAATCACTTGTTCCACATTAAAACATCTTTTATTTCTAATTTTCCCAACATTAAAACTATGTAAATAACTAAATATGTACACAAGACAAGTACAAGATCCTTATCAAGATCGGTTTATTTCCGAATCCTAACTTACATCTCTATCGTCCTCTTTAAGATTTTTTGTACAAAAATATTCATTTATATAATATATTTATCTTTCTTGCATGGCTTCTATTAGAAAGATACGTTTTATAATTCCAATTCTTCGTCTTCACAAGATGAAACAAAACTTGGAAACGTCCCCTTTATGTCCCTACATTTACCAAGAATCTTACGATTAATCAATTTGATTCAATGCAACAATCAAACCGGTCGGTTTGGTTCAAAGTTGGTCACGGCCTGGAACATATGATGAGGTTAGACTCTCTATATAACTTAATAGCCAATATAGAACTCACTTTAGATAGGGCAAAGTCATGTTCTTGATGAGCGATGGATTCAAGGATACAAAATCTTTCCATTCATCTATATCAATTTTTCCGTCGTTTTTGCGGTCTGCTTCCACAAAAGCCTGCATTTATATACCACCATTTCCTTAATAAATTATTTATCATTAAGATTATAATCTTCAGGATTATCTTATCTAGAAAATATATGCATCGGTGTGGAAGTGATTACCTTATCAACCATTACTTCGATCATATCTTCGGAAAGAACTAGTTCTGATTCGTGAAGAAGCGCGATTACCATCTCTTTCAACTAATCAAAACATAATTCCGCAGTTTTGGTCATTATGGTATATACGTGTTAGATCAACACACATAAAGTTATTGGAGTAAAACTGTTTAATCTGAAGGGTACCAAAAAGAAAAGTAACCGTAAATGGACTCACTTCTTCTCGCTCGATGAATCCAGTTTGCCGTAAATCGTACAATTTGAAAGCAACTGCAAATTGATCATGATAAAATTCATTGTCAGTTAACTTAATAGGAAAAGAATATTAAGTACTTCACATAGAATGAATGTGAAACAATTTTTGGGGTTAGAAGAATGACATTTGATTTTTTCGTGGACCGGTGCGTTTGGATGGAAGACGCCTAAGGACCGGACAAATTCCCCAAACTCGATCACTCCATTTCGCTTCACATCAAATACATCAAATATCTGCGTATTATAAAACAGTACTTTGTTTAAAATCATATACATATGTTTGCTATAATGTAACTTGTACTAGCTAGGTAGATAATATATGTACCCGATCAGCGAAGAGATTCCTCCTGTTCCTATTTCTGAATAAAGCCAGCTGGAATTCTTCCTGCAACATCACACTTTTAAACTCTAATTAAGCCATTTAATTAGATGGCCTATTCGCTGTCTACATATGGTCATTTTAGAATGAAAGAAGAAACCTTATGAATCAGACCGTCGTCAATAATTGAGCTGCTTAGTTTCTTGAACAGTTCATACAAAGCCTCCACTTCAGCTACCGTAACTATTGTCCCTCCCATTAAAAGTAAAATAAAATTAGTTTTAATTATCTAAACTCTAGAACTTGTTATTGTAACGTTTTGAGATCATCTTACTACAATAAGATATAAAACTAAAAACTAACATGGCGTAATGGAGGCAAGAAGCTCGGGATCCTCATATCCCGGCGGTCGCATTGCATTCTTGTTCTTCTTCTTCGACACAGAGCAGCCCATACAAACACACCTTCTCTCAACTGTTACTCGTCTTTGCTTTTCTCACTCTACAACCAAACATCAATAATCTTGGTTTACAGATATGTCATTCTTCCTTATTAATAACAACCCTTCGATCCTACTTTCGTATTCGTTGGATCTACCAAAAAAAGGTCCAAGAACAAACCAATTAAGATCGAGTGCAATTAATAATAGGCGGCAACTTGTTTAATTTGTCACGTTATTGACTTTTCTAGTTTTTTTTTTTTTTTTTTTTCTTTTTGTCAAACTCAAAAAAAGTATACATGTTTTGGTAAACTCACAAAAGATTGCCAAAATGTTTCTAATGAAATTTACACATACATACATAAACTGTTAATAACATGATGACCATGTACCTCTGCAATTATATATCGATCGTCTACGTATATGTAATATTTGAATTTTGTTAAAGGCAATCTAGCGTCGAAGTCATCAAAATCAGCAAGAGTTTGACAAACATCGACGGCTATACGAACGATTATTAAAATAGTTGTAGCTTTCACGACAGCTAGTCAGCTACATTAAGCTCTCCCTAAACATCACTTCATTAAGCGAAATAGCCAAAATTATAACAAAAACAGCCTTTGCCCTATTTAATCTATAATTTAGTAATGATGATTCACAATAAAGAAAATGAAACCAAATATATAATTCATAGAAGATTTAGGTAACTCGCCGTAATAGCCACGCCAATGACGTATATGATTTATCTAGGTGTACAGATGAGAGAGAGCTTTAATTTACTTCTGAGATAACTTATCAAAGTCTCCTACGATATATGCATACATATAGATAATACATAAATACAAATACCGGATAAAATCTAATCGACGTTGGTCCACGTATATACAAATGCATGAATCAGTCAATGGAATATAGTAAATAGATACAAAGTAATCAAATAAACATGAACCTATGTCCAACACAATCACAATAACACATTTAACTAAGCGACCAAAATAGCGTTTCAAGGTCTCTAGAAGTAGTATACGAAATTAATAAAACCATGTCTTTAAATTAATTTAGGAACATATAATATATAGGTTAAATTAACTGCATGATTGAAGTTTTTGGTTCATACATTTTTAAGGGAAGAGAGGCTAGAATGGATTTTGGACAAATAGGATAAAGAAGAGTTCCAATATGAATGGGACCACATTACTGCATTAATACAATTAAGCGATGCTTTATTAAAAATCACGAGATTGAGACAAACTTTTTGTTGCTTTATTCAATTAATGTAGGCAAAATTATATGTGTTTCACTAATAAATAAAACAAAAAGGGTTTAATTACACTTACACTACTATCTATAGACTATAGTATATTTAAATCTCTATTTATTCAAAAACATGCCGAGTAAAATCCTTAACCATACGGGCATTTGGTTCATATCTCTACGCAGAGCCTGTCTTCGACCAGGCAAGCAAATCTTGAACTTGGGACCTCTAATCTAATAATTGAAAACTACAAGACCCTAGCTAGTTGGTAATTAATAATGATCAACTTATGCTGGTCTTGGTGTATTTGACTTTTATACGAAACTTCTATTTAATGTATTAATTTATGGACCATTTTTACGTGTATACGGAGCCTCCAACTTCTCATGACCTGTTTTTTATATCTATACATAATCATACTCGATATACGTTATCGTGTAAACCAACTTAGACATACCTAATTTAGATGCAGTATTTTCATCTCGTTGTTTACTTCTCGCAATCTCTTTGACCTAATTTAGATGCAGTATTTCTATCTCGTTGTTTACTTCTCGCAATCTCTTTGTGTAATTATTGGGAGAATCTGAAATCGACCGAAATCGACGGTCGAGATGATTGCCAAGAATTTGAAAATCATAAAAATCAAGAAGGATGTAAAAAATTATCATATATTACTTTAGGAATATATATATATATATATATATATATATATATATATATATATATATATATAATTTATAGTTATCTTTACCTATAATCATAAAAAATTAAGTTTAATATATATATATATATATATATATATATCGATATATTTTAAAACACTAATTATATAAGAGTTTATTATAATTTTTCTTAAACACAATTGTGTTTTTACTCTCATCAATGAGTAATAACAAAAAGTTGCTTAAATCAAACCGGCCATGCAGCAACGAAAAGATAACGTTTGTGTGTTAATTATTTTCTCTAATAAGTATTTAAATAGTGAATGAAAAACAACTAGCAGGTATTGACTTTTATAAGTTTATTAGGTACTCGTCTTTGATTTTTTTAATAAGAAATCAAATTTATCATCTCCTTTGACCCAAAAACACCCAAAGTGTCTAATTCTCAAAATCCAAAACACAAAGTGTTATGTTTGGCAACACAAAACACTCAACAACAACAACAACAACAACAGTTCTAATGGCTACGACGAACTAATTGAACACCCACCAAAATCGAACCGAGATGGACCAAACCGGATATGATCCAATTTGTAATTTCTAATCTGAAGTAATTTGATTTCGGTAGAATCGGACTGAAACCAAAGCCAAATTCCATTGAAATATTAATGGAAACTATACACTCAATTAGAATTCAGTCTATGTTACTACAGAACTTGATATAGCCGGTTTAAAGAATGGTTTAGGTTTGGTTTGTGTGTTTTTTATATTTAACCGAATTATACTAAATCTTATCACTAGATTCCTTGAAACCTGGACACATTTTGACTCTTTCTTGAAGATAAACTTCAAGCTCTTAAACCTCCATTTTGAAAAAAAAAAAAAAAAAAAAAACAGCGAATTCCTTTCTTTTTATATATCTTGAGTGTGGATTAATAAAAGTACGAAATAAGCCAAAAACTGGATGTGACAAAAAAAAAACATTGGAAAGAGCTATGAACGATTTTCTCAGCAATGGTGAATCGAGCAAAATGAATAATAAGAGAGAACAAAAGAAAAAAAAGAACTAACCGATCGAGAAGTACTGTGTAATCAATCTCTCTATGTTCTTGTCGACTCTTCACTTCTCTCGATCTTGAATAATGGTGTTGGTTGGAAAATGAAAAGGGCAAAATGAGATTTAATTAAATAGAAGAACAAACTGTGACGAGCTTCCCAACATCGGTTTGGTTTGTGTCCATCCATGCGCAGATGGATCGCGATGTAATGTCGGTTTTCAAAATCTTTTTTATATAAAGCTATTGTAATGACAAAATATAAATTATAGTTTCCTCAACCATTCCGCTTATGACAAAATATAAAGTAGTAGAAGTCAAAAAAAAAAAAAGACAAAATATAAAGTAGTAGTGTTTTCAAGTCCCACGAGTCCCACGTCACTTTTTTAATTTCATTTTTGTTGACACTTGTGGTTGTTGACAAATAATTTTGGAAAAAAAAATTACAAATAAGAGACTCATTTTTTAACATCAAAATAACCTAAAATGTTAGTATTAACTTTTGAATATACACCCGCATTTTTAATATTTTTAAAGTAGATTAAGGGGGTGATTGGAAGAGGCTGTTAGTTTTGGTTGTAAAGACTTTGACTTTAAGAACTTTGGCTGTGGAAACTTTAACTGCAGAGATTTTGGCTTTAGAAACTTTGGCCGTTAAAATCTAATTGGTAGAACAAAGCTGTAGAAGCTGTAATTGTTATTTTTTAAGGATTATGTATATCATAATAAATATAAATAATGTTATAACTGAATTCATGTGAAAATATAATTTTAGTAATGATAAGAATTTAGAAAAATACAAAAATTTATAAACAATGTATAGAAAAATATTCTCAATAAATAAACAAAATTTGTATTATTCATTCATGTTTAATAACCAAACATTGCATTAAAAAACTGGATAAACTAATAATAAAATTATTAATTATAAAATATTTATTTAAAAGAAATGACAAAGGTTTAGAAATAAATTAAGAAATAAATATTCTAAATAAACACATTTATTTATATTTATTATTTCATGACGAAATTTAATATCCAAACACAGTAGTAAGAAGTGGGATGAACTTATAAAAACTTGGGTGAAGGTGTGGAGCTTGGGGATCCTTATAATACACTCCCTATGTTTCATTATATGAGATGTTTTAGTGATTTAATTTTGTTTCATATTATAAGATGTTTTACAAGTTTCTATGTAGATTTAAATGCATTTGACAATTTGTGACCATTAATATTCTGCAGTCTTTTTTTTTATTGGTTAAAACTTTTATAATTAAATATAAATGATATTTAAAAAAAAAATGATCTAAATATATGTGCATATACCTTAAACATCTTATAGTTTGAAACAGAGAGAGTATATTGTATTGCATCTTCAAATAATCTAAACGTTTTTTTAGAAGTTTCCACTCCAAATTAGCTTCGATCGTTAATTTTCTGAATAATTTTTTCTTTCTGAATAGCACTTAATCTTAATCTTCTATCTGTGCTACTCTGATTTTGTTTCTCCATAACCAAAGATTGTAGAAATAGTTAAAATACTTATCTTGAATGATTCTTGAGCAATTGTTATGGCTAATAATAGTGTTTTGAATGTTTCTTTTTTGTTGAGTAGTTGTATAATTTTGAGTAATCAAAAATCAATAAAACTATTAATGATGAAACAATTTATGAAATAATTGAATGGCCTATATGAAAGTATATGTTTTATTAAAAATACTATTCTATAAACTCTTTTATACCAATATTAATGGTGATTATGAAAATAAAATGATTATTATTGAAATGGATCTTAAAAGAAAGATTGAAAAATGATAATAATTAATTTATCAAAAAATATTTGTAAACATGTAGAAAGATTTTAATTATTATGAGGTGAAGAAAAAAGAAAGTTTTTAATTATTATTTATTTAAAAGTTTTATTATTTGTTTGAAAGCTTCATATTTGAGACTTTAGAAAATTCAACGTAAAAAGGGAGATTGTTAAAAATACCCCTTTTGGTGTGCCCCTTTTCAAAAATGCCCCTTTTAGATGTCCATTTTCAAAAATGCCCCTTTTTAAATCTGAAATTTTTATAAAGTTTTATTAGGTTTATAAGGTATTTATGGATTGTAACTACTACTTGAAGACTCGATCCAAGTATTTATAAGGTTTTATAAGGTGTTTTTAAAGGTTTTACAAGTTATTTTAAAGGATTTTAAAGGTTTTTCAAAGGTTTACAAGATATTTTAAAGGTTTTTAAAGGTATTTAAAATGCATTTATAAGGTATTTATACAGTATTTATAAGATTTTAGATACATAGAAATGTAGTTTGTGTATGTTTTAATAATATTATATACATATTTGGGTAAATCTTATATTTTTAAGAGCATATTTTATAAGGTTTTTAAAAAGGGATATTTTTGAAAAGTGGCATTGAAAAAGTGGCATTTTTGCAAAAGCATGGGCAGTTAAACTTTAAAAACTTTTAAAAAACTTAAAGTCCTAAAATTATGATTGGTAAATATATGGCTGTTAAGACTTTTAAAAAAATCTAGAGCCCTTAAAGTCTCTTCCAATCACCCCCAAATATAAGAAAAATTCGTAGTTTATATATTTTTAAATTAATTTATCAAAATATTTTGACGGATGATTGATAATTACATTTATACGGGTACTCATTTTTGTAATAATTACTATGTTTTCGATAAGAATGAACTCGTTTGTTTATGAAATTTGAACAATTGCCATGAAAACGTAACTACAAAAAAATTGGATGTCTCACATTCATCATCGTCAAGCATCGCTTTTATAGGGTTTGGAACTTGTCAGCTCGTACCCGTCGAGATTTGGCTCAAATCCACATTCCTATTCTTGCATCAATAGGACATGACAACATCGAAACTACATGTATCAATAGGACATGACAACATTGAAACTACATGTGCGGATGTGCCTAACCTTTCTAATTTTCGTCATGATCAATTTCTCTTTGCTTTCTTGAACATATAGTTTTTATTGTCTGAGTCTGAGTTTAATTAGAAAATATTTATTTCATTTATAGTTGACCATCTTTTCATTTGCACTTTTTCAATCAAACAAAAAATTACGTTAAAAAAAAAAAAAAAAAAAACGTTGTGAAATGATAAATCTTTCTTTATATACGTCTCTTCACTTTTTTTCCCATTAACCTTTTCCTTTTTTGTATGTTGGATTGGTGCTATTTTAAAAGTTTGGTTTTCCTACCATGGATATTATATAATTTGTTTATTAAAAATGATCATAGCACAAGATCAAAAACAAACTCTTGAAATAGAAAATTGATGAACAAAATTCCCTTAACCGAAATAAGAAAAGAAAATTTCAGAACAAAGTGACTAAACCCAAAAAACACCAAAACTAAACCGATAACCAACTGTTTGAACCCACTGTTTGAACCGTTTTAGGTCCAGTTTAACTCTAATCTAAAGACAGAGACTGGACTAGCTCTAGAGAGTTTGTTGCATTGTGATATTTTTCATTTGTTTTCTTCATTTTTGTTCTCTAACTTACGCAATGAACACTTCTCTTCCTCTATCTTCTTCGCTGCCATTCTCACTCTGTCTCTTGCTGCTTCCAATTTTCTCAGCTTCTCTTCTTCATCCTCCTTTACTGTAACCGGAAAATGAATTTCCGGTTTGCTGATCCAACCAAATATTATATCATCAGCAGTTACACACAGATGAAAGGAATAAAAAGTCGAACGGTAACTTGGACAAGATCAAGAAGAAATGAAGATAGATTTGGAAAAATTAAGCTCCATGTCAAGTTTTGAGCTTTATGGTTTAAATCCAAGAACTAAAATGGATATAAGGATCAAGAAAAAGTCAAGTACCTGCACCCGGAATATATAAATCCGTTTTCTTTTGCGATAAAACCATCTAAAGAGACTGCGTGAGCTGCTTCAACTTGCTTTTGGGTCTCATATACCTGTAAATTTTCAAAGAGGTTATAGAACAACGTCTCTCTAAGTCCGTATCCGGAGTATGTTTGAATAGTGAGCTCCTCTGGAGCCAAATCAATCATGTTCACGGCATAGCCTTTGAAACCCGGTATATGATCTCCATTGAGCAGCTTCGGGTCATCCATGGCTAATTTCTTCTGAGGATCGTTCTCCAAAAGTCCATCCTTCCAAGGTCTGGTGTTTGGAAAAGACCACCAGAAAACTTTTTATAATTTTTTCAGAAATGATTCTAAGGTTTAGCTATCCAACACTTGAAAGAAACCTGATTGCATCAAGACATAGAACATGAAACCAATGATTGCAACTTGTTCCAAGTGATTTTGCTGGTACATCGGTGGAAAACCTACAAGATCTGTTATCTTATAGATGCTCGCAGGCGGATGGAGAAATGCTCACCCGTGTTGTTACGGGAGAGGAAGTGAAAAAGGTACTGTTTTCAATGCCAAAGGATAAGTCCCCCGGCCCGGATGGTTATACCACTGAATTTTACAAGGCATCATGGGAGGTTATAGGGAAGGAATTTGTTCTAGCGATCCAATCCTTTTTTGCAAAAGGTTTTTTGCCTAAGGGTATTAACTCAACTATTCTTGCTCTTATCCCGAAGAAAAAAGGGGCAAAGGAGATGAAGGACTATAGACCAATCTCGTGTTGTAACGTGATATACAAGGTGATCTCAAAAATCATAGCAAATCGTCTCAAGCAGGTTCTCCCTAAATTCATAGCTGCAAATCAGTCGGCGTTTGTAAAAGACCGTCTTTTGATAGAAAATGTATTGCTGGCCATGGAGTTGGTCAAGGATTACCATAAAGACACCATCACAAGCCGTTGCGCGATAAAGATAGATATCTCTAAAGCTTTTGATTCCGTTCAGTGGTCTTTCTTGAATAAAGCTCTCTCCGCTCTAAACTTCCCTCCTATGTTTATTCAGTGGATCATGCTATGCGTCACCACAGCATCCTTCTCGGTACTAGCGGGTTACTTTAGAAGTTCTCGCGGACTACGACAGGGCTGTTCCCTCTCACCTTACCTGTTTGTTATAAGTATGGACATTCTCTCAAAAATGTTAGACAAGGCAGCTGCAGCCCAACAGTTTGGCTACCATCCAAGATGTAAGACTCTAGGTCTCACTCACCTAAGTTTTGCGGATGACCTCATGGTTCTCTCCGATGGAAATGTACGCTCTGTAGAAGGTATTATCTCGGTATTTGATGAATTTGCAAAAATCTCTGGTTTGAAAATTAGTATGGAGAAATCAACCCTCTATTTGGCTGGCACGTCGCGCTCAACAGTTCAACAGATTGCGGCAGTCTATCCTTTCGATATAGGACATCTTCCAGTTCGTTATCTGGGCCTCCCTCTAGTCACTAAGCGGCTTGCCACTGCAGACTGTGCTCCACTATTAGAACAGGTAAAGAAGCGCATCGAGTCTTGGACTGCACGGTATCTCTCTTTTGCGGGTCGTTTGAATTTGATTTCTTCGGTTTTGTGGAGCATTTGCAATTTTTGGTTGGCAGCATATCGTCTTCCTCGTGAATGCATTAATAGTGTTGAGAAATTATGTTCTGCATTCTTATGGTCAGGAGCTGAAATGAGAACTCATAAAGCAAAAATCTCTTGGGAACGAGTTTGTACACCTAAGCGAGAAGGAGGACTAGGGCTGAGATCTCTCAAGGAAGCTAATAATGTATGTTACTTGAAACTGATATGGCGGTTAGTCTCTAACAGTAACTCCTTATGGGTTAAATGGGTTAAAGAGACACTCCTTAAAAGAACATCTTTCTGGTCGCTCAAAAACAATTCAAGCATGGGTTCTTGGATATGGAGAAAAATTCTCAAATATAGAGATGTGGCAAAGAATTTCTGTAAGGTGGATGTGGGTAATGGAGAGCACACATCTTTCTGGTATGATCACTGGTCCGGGCTAGGGCGACTAATTGAGACTGCGGGAGTTAGAGGAGTTATTGATCTGGGGATAAGTAGAACAAGCTCGGTGGCGCAAGCGTGGGCTACTCATCGTCGTCGAAGGCACCGCTCAGTTTTCTTAAATGAAACAGAGGAGGCTCTGTTTGAATATGGAAAAAAACGGAGCAGTAGAGAAGATACAGTCCTATGGCGATCCATGAATGACAGTTTCAAACCATTTTTCTCGACGAAAGACACTTGGAATCACATAAGAACAACTTCGACCACAGTCACTTGGCACAAAGGAGTATGGTTTTCAAATGAAACCCCTAAATACTCCTTTTGTGTATGGCTTGCAGCTCATGATCGGCTTTCTACGGGAGATCGTATGCAACAATGGAATGGGGGTGGATCGGGACTCTGCATTTTATGCAAAACGTGCACCGAATCTAGAGACCATCTATTTTTCTCATGTGCTTACACATCGAAAGTATGGGCAGCTGTTGCGAAAGGATTATTCAAAGCCAAGTACACGACAGTTTGGTCTCAGCTCATAGATCACATTTCCAACGCTCAACAAGATCGGGTGGAGAGGTTCCTAACAAGGTATGTTTTTCAAACAACCGTCTACATGATTTGGAAGGAGAGAAATGGCCGTAGGCACGATGAACAACCGCACACAGAGAATATCCTCACGGGCTGGATTGATAAGCAAATACGAGACCAAATTTCTATGATCCGAAGAAGGGGAGATAGACGATACGACGAGGCGTATCAACTATGGCTCCTAGCCCGAAGCTAATCTTCAAAGGCTGTCGTTTTTTTTTTTTGTTTCTATCAAACACTATTTCAACTCGCTCTCAAACTTAAGTCGCACTTGGTTGTAAAAACGTAATTTTTCTTTTGAATATAATTTAACATTAGATTCAAAAAAAAAAAAAAAAAACCAATGATTGGATTGAAGCCTGAGATACTCAGCATTATTCGATCCAATTTTTGCCGATTTGCATACCAAAGCGAGCATCATGTCTTCTCCCAAAAATTCAGACAACACCCTGTATACCAAATAAATTCGGATACAAAAGTTTTGGCCCAGGTATAGAGACTATGATCAGTAATACTGTCTAAAAATTGATGTCACCTGCTAGGGGAGGTGGAAGCAACTGAACCAAGAAGTTCTACAAGGCCAAACACTCCTTTCTTTGACAGAAACAGAGACTGTGGAGGCGGGGCCTTTCTATACAAACAACAGAAAACCGATGCTGCGGTGTCATGATGCTTCTCTTCAATCTGTTTCATCATTGATTCTTTGGTGGATAGGCATTCTGGGAATGTAGCACCGAGAGTTTCCAGAGAAGCTGAGATAAAGGCAACATGAACAGTTAAAATTGCTGGTTTGTTATCATTCGCCATTTTTTGTCTTAGAAAATTATTGCAATAAGACTATGTTCTAATAACGATTTTGTGAAACTCTTAAATTAAGCTTAAAAGTGTTTTCAGAATTAAAGATGCCGGCATTGATGTAGACACCAAATACAGGGCACAGTCAACAACAAAAATGCGAAAAATTAGCATCAATGCAACTTCAACCCCCATAATAGTTATCAAACTTCTGCAAATGAGTATATAAAAAAAAAAAAAAAAAAACAATATCTGATCTTAACCAAGAATCCAAAATAATAGTTACCTTGCAAGGTACTCAACTCTTCCTTAGCCTGGTTTTGTTCGGCTTCCAAACATTTTAGGCGCTCATCTACTTCCACTATGTCTTCACTGTATCTAATAAGTTTTTCTTTTAAGCTCTGCAGGAAAAGGGAGCATTTTCAAAGAAATGGTTGAGACGTTAACTCAGAATATAAAAACTAGATCATTCTAGAAAATGTTTTTCTTTTAAATGGTGATGGCCATACCTCAGTGAACTGTGCCATATCCAACAGGCTAGTTTGGCTACTGAGAGCCGATGACGATGCCCTAATGGCCAAAACTCTAAACTGTGAACATGGAGTTTGTTCAGTTGGAGCCACCGATGAATTTGTGGTTGAAGCCATCTTTGATTGAGGTGTTAAACTCATCCTTGAATAAGGTGTAGAACACCCAATCTCATCTCTTTCAAATATTTGAGCAGGCGTTAGCTGAATCTGTAAATTAAGAGGGCATGTTATCAACAACCTCAAGGTAAATCATATTGTAAGATAACCCATTTAAGGTCAGATGAAGCTCGGGAAATCGAGAATGGAAAACCCTGAAAGAAAAGACACCCTCGCTCTCAGGTAGGGAAAGAGTAGGAACTTTGCAGGACTCGTGGACAAAGGCATATCTGATTGCACTCTCAACGCTTCTTGAATCAGATTCAATGCTCATGGTATGGAAACATCCTGATTTTTCGTCATGATGGATACTAGTATCCATAGCACCATCTGAATCCGTCACTTCGAAAATGAGGTTTGTAAGATTTGAACCAGCAGCACAGCAGTCAGGCAGCTGATTAAAACAAACAATTTCAGAATGAGTAGGTAGAGAAGATGAAAGACAGAACTCCAGTACAAGAGAAACAAACTAAGACTGCATTGAAACAATCAACCTATGTTACTGATACGTACCTTTGTTAAGAGCATGAGCTCTCGTCTCTCAATCAGAGACTCTTTCTTAAAGATCTCATCAATACCATACATAACAGAGAGTGATACTACATAGAAAAACAATAGAAAATAAGAAGATATTAGTTGTTACATCTTACTTGAAGTGTTTCACCTACCTAAACTGTATGAAATGTGGCCTCTGTCATAACTCTAAAAGAAGGGTAGCAGATGTTACTAGATTTCCCATAGCTGGCCGTGACTTGGAGAATTCCAGACAGATCAACGCAGCCACAACTATTGACCTATGACGTGATCAATAAACTTAAAGAGTAAATAGATCATTGGTTAACACAGTCACCAAAAAGACCAGTTGATAGAAAACTAAGCATATAATATGGTATCCTAGAAGTTCATTGAAATAATCGTAAGCACATAAGCTCCTCTCACCTTTCGGTTAAAGCCCATCGGGTCTTTGATACAATAGCCCTCAATACATATCAGAACATTAGTACCTTCTGCAACATGGTTATTATATCCATCGAACACCTGCATAAAAAACAGTGTACTCAGCTTGATTTGATGGAATTATTCATTACTTAAATGAATAGATCTTTAAATACGTATACCTCCAAGATATAATTTTGAACAGTAGAGCCTGGAAGCAAATATTCCAAAGACTCTGGATACATCTCAACAACATGCTTCAGAGGCCGAGGATTAACTGAAATATGACACGCTTGTGAAGTAAATAATCATTCTACAAAAAAGTACTCTTCTAAATCAGCTTAGTTTGTGTCTCAAAGCATTTCCTACTGTTGTCAATTTTCTCAGTTCCATAAACAAAGTAGAAATTACAAAAGGTCAGTTAGTTGGAGTAACATTAGTACTGATTGATACACTCCAGCTCTTATTTTGTTCTACGTTTTAAGTATATATTAATAACTCTTTTGTGTATCTTACTACAAGCTTTTGTAGCACAGACATATAAAAACTGTTCCTATACAAAATTAAAGCAGTAGGCTTACCTTTACAAGCAACTAAGACGGAAAATGGTTCGTCCTTTGAGCATATCTCTAAGGTTGCCTCATAATCTGGCCTGATATTATCTAACTTATCAGTCTCAACGAGCATATTCTGCATTAGTTTCAGAAAATTGGAAAGTTATAGACTTTGCCAGTAGATTAACAGCCATCAAAGGTCTTCTTCAGCTGCCACCAGGGTCTAATTTGGTATCTACTCTCTCTCGATGACAAAATTATAGTCATAACATTAGTGCTTGAAGATGGTAAATACCTCGACTTTGAGAATTCCATGATCTACCAGGTTGGCCCTCAATCATATCAATCTTTATTTGGAATCCAGGGCTGGCGTTCAGTTCAACTTCCAGTGTTGGAACAGAAGTGAATGCTATCTGATTTTCATATTCATCAAAGCATGCGATAGAGCAAGGAGGAAGTGAGGAACCCACCCTGTAGAGACACACCATTAAATTGATCAAGTCTGCAATCTTAAGTGCAGGAACAAGAGAAAGGTCACATATATGTGCCATTCTGAAGCGTATAAGAGTCTTACTGAACATTATACTGCCGCGCGGACTCAACATTAGAAGCAAGTTTCCAACTTCCCACCTTCGAAGAAGGTTCAACAACCTTCTTTTTGTTAGTAGTAATTGAGTTTCCCTGAAAGGAAAGTGTTCAAACAATTGGTTATATGATTACTCGAAAAACTTAAATGGCAGATAGAGATTATAACATGACTTACAATAGAGAAACAAAAGTTGTAAATGCAAGCTTTGTTGAACATGTTTGGGAGCTTCGACTCAAGGGGAAAGATGTAGAGACCATGGAATCCACTACAGAATGTAGGTGAACAGTGATGTGAATACAAATGTTTGGTATTCTTATCCCTTGATTTTGTATTCGTGTCTTGAAATTCTACTTCCATGAGCATGTTCCCATCCATCTTCACAATATGTTTGCTATCAAATGCTGGAGCAAATGCAGAAAGACACTTAACTGAACTGTTGAAGGGTTGATACCTTTTTTTATTTCACTCTGAAAAAATCGAATCTGAAACCAAAATTCTCGACCCTTGGAGTTTAGGTTGGTAGTGGCAAACTCTCCACCTGTTATCTCAGCTTAATCCTCTCCATTGACCTGGAAAACGTATAGAAAAAGAAAAGAACAAGGAAATTAGAAAAGATTGAAACTAAAAGCACTAAAAATAATTTTTATTAGAATGATAATATTAAACCCCAAACATCTTTGAAAATAATAACAAACCTGAAACTCTACAGGCCTTTCCGTCCTCCCAGTTTTAGAGATTTCATCACACTACAGGTTGACAAAAGAAGAATGAAACCTCCCGACAAAGAAACACCATAATAAAGAGATCACCACATATTGTATTAATATTAGCCAACGAAAACCTGGATGTAAGGAAAATATATATCCTTAAGTCTGCACTGAAGTTGATATATTTCTGGAATCTTACATTCCGATTCAAATATCTCAACCTGGAAATAAAAAAAAAATAGCAGTTTCAGATAAGCAGATGCATATTATAACGAGCTGTTTCATGAAAATAGAGGACCATATATTAAGGGCACGCAGGAGAAAGTGGAAATATGGTTATAGGACTCTAGAGCAGCACCAAAAACTTTAATTTATGCACAATCTTATCGTTAGAGCATAATGATTCAATTAAAAGTTAAAAAATCAAGAAATCCAAGTGACTCAGAATTTAGGAGAACATTTGTCCCCAAGAAAGTAGCAACAAAAAATATGGTTTGTACCTTTGTGAAGCTTCCATGAGGTGATAGCTTGATTTCCTCCTCCAGAGGATCCCTCATTCCACCATCAGCATTTAATGACATAGACTATGACGAGCAATAAAGGAAGATGAATGTATTATTACCTTCCAGTTTTTTCCTAAGATAGAACGATTGTCAGTCAAAGCTTCTCGATTGAGTTGCAAGGTGAACACTTTCTTAGACAGTTTCGTCTTTGAAGACACCAAAGTACGCCTAATCATAGAAGAGAGTTAAACGCACCAAGGAAGGCAGACAATCATTGGTTGACGTCAACATTAATAGGTAAACAGATAATGAATTCTCACCTTCCCAAATGCATACACGCATAAGGACCTCCATATCCAAACATCCCAAAGAATGGCTACGTAGCAAAAGAGTGAATCTTCCTCAGATTAGTAAATTACTCAACTTTGCCACATAGGTGTACTAGTCTAGTCGAGTTCATTACTTTTCAATTCAAAAATGTATGTCTTGCTATGTAGAAACACTCATGATAATTTATAAACTGCAAGCAAAAAAAAGTTCTAAGATTCTTGAGACAGAGTTAACTACCATAAGGTATGGTGGTATGCCTCCAATAGCTTTGGATTTGTGAGACCTATGTAATGATGCCCCTATTTTCCCCCTGCACAGTGTTATAGAAATGAAGACTGCTTAAAGATCAAACTCGCGGTGTCAACATGAGTAAGGAAAATTAGATTGAAGTATGAAGTTATTTATGACGTCACCACCACCACTATTGCGACTATGATGACGTCACCATCACCACTACCATGTTGTCACCACCACAACCACGTCATCACCGCCACTACTACCATCATCTTCACCACCATAACGACCACCATAACGTCACCACCACCACAGCAATCACCATAACGTCACCATCACCACTATCACTATCACTACCACCACCGCCGCAACCACCATGACAGTCACCACCACCACTGCTACCTCCACCACCATCGCCGTTGTCCCAACCACCACTATATCACCACCACCACTACCAAAACTATGTCATCACCACCATACCGTCACCATCACCATCACCGAGTTATTACCATCACCACCACCACTACTTACATTTTATTAAAAATGTTTCGTTCTATACTATTTCATTAGATTCTATACTATTTCATTTTTTTTTTTTTTTTTTGAATAACCGCGGGTCTCCCAAAGACTTCCTAGGCCCAAGGACTAATCCCACGAGGCTGGCAATTCCCTTATGTAAACCTGCCAGTGGCCGTGCCTCGAACCCTGGTGGCGGAAGTCACAGCTGTGACCCATTTACCACTAGGCCACAAGACCCGGTTATTCTATACTATCTCATTTAGATTCTAAAGTTTAACTTGGTAGATTAGGTTTCATATGTACTATTCCTAAAGATATAACAATATAATTTCTGTCATGCGTTTAATTCGGTATTTGGGTTCCCTATATTGTATCTCTTAGGGTATAGTGTTTATTTTCCGATGTACGTTTAACACAAATTTATGAAAAATTAATAAATTTCTTAGTAATAACATATTATGCAATTACATTTTATTTTACTCTATACAATTTCATTTTATGTAATTCTATTTAGACATTAAATTTTTATCATTAACCACCTTTTTCATAAACTTATCTGTTTTAAAAAATTAAATCATGATACATTCAGAAAAGTATATAAATTTTTTATAGAAGAATCATGACTTTGAAATTTTTTATTAAAACAAAAGAAATTGAGTTACAATTAAAAGGGGTAAAGAAAAAATATATTTCTCTCTCCTGCTCCTCATCCTTGAACTCCAAGGATTGAGCTTCTTTCTGCCACCTCAGCTGAATGTTTTTCTCCTTTGGTGCTTCATCTCGACACTAGTTTAGTCTTTTCCCTGTCCCTTATGTTACTTTCTTAATATTTTTGAATATAGTGCAATATTCTTAATTTGAGATTGTATTTTGGTTATAGAGCAAATTCGAAGTGATCTTGGTCTAGTGGCAAATGATAAGTCCACAGAAGACAGACACCATCACACCAGGGATCGAATCCCCGACTCTACAATTTAATTGTAGAAATTAGGCTAATGGGCCGGCCAGTTGTGGCCCAAATGTTGACAAAAAAAAAAAAAAAAAAAAAAACAAATTCACCCTATATATAGTATATATAATTGACTTGTGTTTTCAGATATATAGTGACGATATTATGTGTTATTGTCATTAGGAGTTGATAAAATTGAAACTTTTCTATAATACATTTCACTTGATTTGATTTTAAGCGAATATTCAATTTTAATTAAATGCCCATATCTTCTGCTATTCGCAAGAGCTTTTGTTATTTTCAGCAAAACACCAAACCTTTTTATATTTACCAAAATAGCCAGAACGTTTAGTAAACTACCGAATTGCTCCAAATCTTTAGCTATTTACAAAAGTACTAGATTAAGAAAACTTTTTTAAAGTAGAACCTAAGAATAAGAAGAGTCTGCTGCCATAGCAGTAAAATGTTGGTATTTCTCATTTGCCTTCTTCAACTTTTTCACCACCTTACGCAACTTACAATTCTCCTCAGTCATCATCTGCTCAACCTTTCTCTTCTTGTCTCTTATTATTTCCAGTTGCACCAATGCCTTCTCTTGCCTCTCCGTTACGGTTATTGGAAAATGAATTTCCGGTGTACTGACACAAGCCCAAATAACAATAATAATCAAAGATCATCAACACTCACAATAACCAAGACAGATTAAAAAAAATAAAGCAAAAATCTTGGAAGGTTTCTTCTAGGCTTCCAAGCTTTACAGTTCCAAACTTTATAACTGAAATGAGTTTTTAAGGATAAAGAGAAACATGTACCAGCAACCGGAGTATATGAAACCGTTTTCTCTGGCGATCACACCATCTAGAGACACAGCGTCTCCACCATTGATGTGAGGAAGAGCTGCTTCAAGATGCTCCCCGGTCTCATATACCTGCAACTCTCCAAAAACTCCATAGAACAGCGTCTCTCTAAGCCCGTAACCTGAGCTTGATTGTATATTCAGCTCCTCTGAAGATAAATCTATCATGTTCACGGCATAGCCTTTGAAGCCCAGTATAGGATCTCCATTCGGCAGGTAAGGGTTATCCATGGCTAATCTCTTCTGAGGATCATTCTTCACAAGTCCGTTCCTCCAAGGTCTGCATGTTTTGAACCAGAAAACATTTGGCTAAGCAATAGATTAACCGGAAACCAAATATCAAAGGAAGAGTACAAAAATACCTAATTGCATCGAGACAAATAACAAGAAACCGATTGGTGATAGATCGTCCGAGGCTAGCAGCTTCAGATTGAAGCTTGCGATACTCATCGCTTTTAGGTCCAAATTGTGATGATTTGCATACCAACGAAAGCATTGTGTCTTTCCCCAAATATTCAGACAAAACCCTGTCATACCAAATAACTTAGGAAATTGAAGAGTTGCCCCAAGTGTAGAAACTATGAATATGATCAGAAAAACTGTGGCTATAAAACCGATGTCACCTGCTTAGTGACGTGGAGGCAACTGAACCAAGAAGCGCTACTAGGCCAAACATTCCTTTCTTTGACAGAAACAGAGACTGTGGAGGCGGAGCCTTTCTGTACAGACAACAGAACACTGATGCTGCAGTGTCATGATGCTTATCTTCGATTTGCTTCATCATTAATTCTTTGGTGGATAGGCATTCTGGAAATGATGCACCAAGAGGTTCCAGAGAGGCTGAGATGAAATTCACATGAACAGGTAAGAATTACCAGTTTATGCTATGATCCGCCATTCTTTTGAATTAGAAAAACTGTTGAAATAAGACTTATGTTCTAATAAACATTTTGTGAAACTCTCCATTAAGTATGAAGCATGCTCAAAACTAAAGATGTGGGCAATGTTTTAGACACCAAATTTAGGGATAGTGTTTCAAAAACAGAAAGCAAATGAAAAAATAGCACCAATGCAGCTTCAAGTTCAAACCCCATCATAGTTATCAAACGTTGACAAATCAAGATAATAGTTACCTTGCAGCCTACTACATTCTTGCTCAGCATGTTCATGTTGATCCTGCAAACATTTTAGGCGCTTATCTAATTCAACTCGGAGTTCTTCCTCACTATTAATTGTTTCTTTTAAACTCTGCAGTAAGAAATGAACATTTTCAAACATGCGGCTAAGATGAACTCGGAATACAAAAGCTAGATCATTCTAGATGTTTTTTTTGCTTGCACTAAGGTATAAATGATAGAGAAATATCAATATTTACCGCTTAAATGGTGATGGCCATACCTCAGTGTACTGTGCTATATCCATCAGGCCAGTTTGGCTACAGAGAGCCAATGATGATGACCTAATGGCCAAAACTCCAAACTGTGAACATGGAGTCGAAGATGGATTTGTGATTGAAGGCATCCCCGATTCAGGTGGTGGAGTTGTTGAATATGGTGTCGAATACCCAATCTCATCTCTTTCAAATGTGGGAGCACATGTTACCTGAATCCGAAAAATTGAATACAACAGAATCAGAGTGAAAAAGTGAGTTAGCACGAACTTGAACTGAAAATTCTACCCATGGTAGAAACATATTGCAGTATATACCCAAATTCACAAGTAAATTACTACCTTTACGCTCATATGCAGCTCAGGATATCGAGAATGGAACACCCTGTAAGAAAAGACACCCTCGTTTTCAGGTAGGGAAAGAGAAGGAACTTTGCAGGACCCGTGGACAAAGGCATATCTGATTGTACTCTCAACGATGCTTGAATCAGATTCAATGCACATTGTGTGAAAACACCCGGATTTTTCATCATGATGGATGCGAGTATCCAAAGAACCATCTGAATCCGTCACTTGGAAGATGAGGTTCACGAGATTTGAACCAGCAGCACAGCAGTCGGGCAGCTGATCAATACAAACAAATTCAGAATCAGAAGAGAGTAGAGAGACAAGTTCCTGAAAAAAGCTTGGTGGCAAGAAACAAAACCAAACTGCACCAAAAGAATCTTTACCTCGGTTACAAGTCTTAGCTCTCGTTCCTCAATTTGAGACTCTTTCCTGAAGATCACTTCATTACCAGACATTACAGAGAGTGATACTATAGAGAAACAAAGACGCTAGACAATCAGCAAATCATCAAAAAGGGAATGAAAACGGAAAAATACAGAAATTGAAAAGATCACGTTACCAGATTTCCCATAGCCTTCTGTGACCTTAAGAATGCCAGAGAGATCAATGCAGCCACGGCCATCAACCTATCAAATAATGAAAGAACTTTAAGAGTCAATAAAATCAAAACCAAAACCAAAACCCAAACCATTTAAGAAACTGTGTCATCCAAATAGTGATACAATGGCGAGAATACGATATACTATAGAAATGCACTCAATACGTCAGACAAAGACTCCCATGCTTTACTAGAATTAGCTTCTCACACCTTACGGTTGATGCCCATCCAGTCTTCAATAATATAACCATCAATATTTATCAGAACATCAGTCCCCTCTGCAACATGGTTATTATATCCATCGAACATCTGCATAAAAATTATGGTCAACTAGATTCGAAGGAAAAACCTGATTTCTGTTTAAAAACGTGCATAGACCGATATTATATACCTCCAGGATCAAATCTTCGACAGTGGAATCTGGAAGCAAATTCTCCAAAGCGTCGGGATTATTCACAGCAACTCGTTTCAGAGGCCCAGGATTAACTGAAACAAGAAAATTTCGTTAGGGAAAACAGTTTCTACATTTGATATAAACATTAATGGTTCATTTTGCATGTCCTTACGATGTCACTTTCACAATAGATACAAAGCGTAGACTAAACTCCCTAATTACATAACTATCAGAAATCTTCAATTTTCTCAGTTCTATAAAGAGAGCAGAAATTACAGAAAGCTCCCTAACTTAAAGTAACATAACTGAACGATACACTGCGGCTCTGATTTTGTTTCGGGTGTAAGAACATTTCTGATGAGTCTTTTGTGAAATTTAAGAAGGGCGTTTGCATATAACCTTATAAAGACCAATACTAGAATAAAAGTTTACCTTTACAAGGAACCGAGACAGAGAAAGGCTTGTCCATTGCTCGTATCTCTAGTGTTGCTTTATAATTAGGTCGGATCTGATCTAACCCATCAGTCTCAACGAGCATATTCTGCATTAGATTCAGAAAATCACGAAACTATGATTCAACTGCCTACACTATGGACTGTATTTAGTATCTGTCCTCGCTTGACATCAAACAAAATATAATCATAACGTCAGTACTTTAACCATGGAAGTAACAATATACCTCGATTTTAAGAATTGATCCATCATTTATCAGGTTGGTCTCAATTTTATCAATTTTGATTAGGAATCCAGGGTTAGCTTCCAGTTCAACTTCCAGGCTTGGAACGGAAGAGAACAGAATCTGGTTTTTGTACTCATCAAAGCAAGCGATACGGAAAGGTGGAAGAGAAGAACCCACCCTGTAGAAACACCATTATATTGATCAAGTTCGACAATCTAAGATTTAATGTGAAGGAAAGTGAGAAAGGTCTGAGGTATGTAAATTTCATTTCTAAGAAGATTATGAGTCTTACCGAACATTGCACGTAAGGGACTCCAGATTATCGTCAAGTTCCCACTTTGCTGCCTTAGAAGAAGGTCTAACAACCACCGTTTTGTTGCACTTAATCAAGTTTCCCTGAAGATAAAGTGTTTGGGCAATTACATTATATGATTACTTGAAAAAATAACTGGCAGTCAGTTTAAATTTATCGGACAATGTTTTAGAATAAAATTTCAGATACAAAAAGAAGAGCATAGAAAGATACTTACAATGGAGAAAGAAAACTTGTAAGTGCCAGCTTTCTTGAAAAGGTTTGGAAACTTGGACCCAAGTGGGAAGATGTAAAGACCACTAATCCCTTTACGGGATGTAGGAAACATGCGCTGCGAACACACAGATTTGACATTCTTATCACTCGATTTCAATGTTACTACCATGACCATTTCTTCCCCATCCATCTTAACAATATGTTTCTGGTCCAACTTCTTCGACGGAGTTGAAGACGTGAAGCATGCAGGTCGGACAACTGCAACAATCTGTTTCGGGGTAGCTTTCCCAGCACGCACAGAATCACCAACCGGTAGTTCCTGTAACATATTGATACATAATGTTACTATCTGTGATAAGCGTGTATGAAATACAATGGTTCTTAGTTTTGTGGCAACAATTTGGAGACGAAAGTGCTTACTGCTCATTATATATGTTTGCACGCAAAGGCAGTTGACACCAAACTCTATCACTTAAACTGACTATAGTTTATACTAAATAAAGAAACGTTCATACCCCATCAATTTTCAATTCTCTGCAATCTCTCTCATCAAGCAAATCAATTTTTGATGGTGCCTTTTCCTGTTGCTTATCAAGTTTTCTATTCCATTCGTTTGCATCTACATGTAGGCACTGTACCAAAAAAACTTCTCAGATTGAAACAGAATAGGAGAATAAAAATAAAAAGAAAATGGTAATAGATAAGTGATTGACCTTTCCAGAGTCGATTATAGTGATCGGTAAAGATAAAGAACTCCGAACTTCCAGTTTTGAAATTCCGTCGATGATTGAAAGCTTGCATCCCTCATTCTCAGGGCGATCGATTGGCCTAAAATTAAAGCTATAAGATACATAAATAGCATTGAATATACAGAACTAGTTAAATGAAAAAAAAATTACCTGCATAAAATCCGAGTATCCCCTGCGCAGAAGACACATGAAACCCGTCATCTCAGCTGTAGCGACTACAAAAAATTATTCTATTTGTAGTGTAAATGATGGTGTAGATAGTACTAACCGCCTGCTTCGTCCTCAAACCCTTCTATTAGGAAATAGTCAATGGTGGCGTACACATTGTTATTGTGAACCCCAGCATAAGCTCCTCTCAGAATCTTTATATTCTGACCACGTTTCCATGACATTCCTTTTCTCGTAACTTCCTTGTGCACCCTCACAGCTACAACTCAAAAGCATTGGAGGTATGAGCACCCAACTCATACAAGGAGATAAACTTGAAATATATGGGAAAATCCATTTAACGGAATCCACAAGTGTGTTTCTACTACAACATCAATGTCAGTAAAAATATTTGGATATATGAAAATGCTTAGAAAACATGCATTTTGAGATGATAACTTTCCAAACAAAGTTTATTTATCTTCCACGAAAATCTAGTACATACCATCACGCAAAATGCCAAGGGCCTTTTTATCCAAGGATCCAACAATGAGGACAGCTTCATCTGCACCCGATGCAGCTTCTTCATCATGGGTATTATGCATCTCCAAAACCCATTCTTGATATTTTTCATCCAGATGCGCATAGCTGACAGATTTTCCTTCTCTATGAGTCACAATAGTGACGTCTGTAAAAAAAAGTATTCATTATAATCTAATTACGAAAAGAAGTGGAAAAACATGATTACAAAAGGATTTTAAACTGACCATCATCCTTCTCTTTCTCTGTCGATTTACTACCAAAGTTTCTTAAAGCCACTGAGAAAGGATTTTGGCTCGCAAGGTCAGTCTGTAAAAAGCTTGTTCAGTGATCAGATGATAATGTAATAAATGCGTTTAATAATCTACGATTGTTAAGCTCACTTTGGAGGGTGTTGGGCTAAAACCAGCATCCAAATCTGCAACCACGAAGAGTGCACATTCATAAACAAAAAAATAATACAGATGTACATATACAACTGACAATGTATGAGCACTTCATACCAACAAAGCATTTTACTCTTCGGCAGCCTTTCTGCAAAGTAGACGCTCTGTATCCTCTTTGCATAAACGGTATTGAATCCTACATATTTAATGATAACACAAACAACACAAGAGTTAAATTCTTGATTTCAAGCATATTCAGAGAACTTGCAGGCCCTCTACACCGTAAATAGCATGATAACGGTGATAAGAGATGACTAACCCAACGGACTTCTGGAAGTAAACGACCAAGCCTTCTTACTGAAACACGACCAAAAGTCTGGAAGCTTTCAGAAACTTTGCATCCTTCCTCTTCTAAACTCTCCAAAATTTTATCAATGCTTTCTTTTCCCTGCAAAGCTTCTAAGTGTTCAGTTCGAGAAGGTAACCAAAGGTAATGTTTGCTTTTTTAAAAACGATTGTTATACCTGGACGATTGGAAAATAAACAAACTTGAGGCGAGCATTTGCCTCTTGAGTTGTCCCTAGAAACACATATATAATCAGAATTCAATTATGATAAACTCTAGGGATTGTAATTTTTGTGCTTCTGTTAGGAGGGCATTTCAGGGTTTCTCTGTACAAACATAATATGGGCTCTCTAAAAAATTCCGGTGCAAGAAGATTATGTATGTGTTGGCGGACCACAAAACAACCATGGCTGCATTTTCATAAGAAGGGGCTTGAGCAGTTTTTCCAACTCACCCCAAACAAAAATATCTCGTAACTGGAAGATACCAGCCGTATTTTTAAGTAGACTTGCTACTAGATACTGAGGCAAAAGCAGCCAGGAGCTTAACTAATAGGAAACGTCTTGATCTGAAGAGGGGTTTTTACCTTTTCTTTTCCCACCGGTAAGAGTGAATCGAATCTGAAATGAATATACTTGACCCTTGGAGTGTAGGTTGGTAATGGCAACCTCTCCACCTGTTATCTCAGCTAAATCTTCCCCATTGACCTGAAAAAATGAAAGAAGACCAGGAAAAGAGTATAACCAAGACCACTTGAAGTAATTTATCTTGGAATAATAATAACAAACCTGAAACATAATTTAGTTACAAATGATAATCTTAGTAATATCAAACGAGAAACACAACTGATTAGCCAATGATGATAATAACAAACCTGAAACTCTACAGGCCTTTCAGTCCTCCCAGTTTTGGAGAGTTCATCACACTACAGGTTGATAAAGCAAATTAAATCAGTCACATATTATCAGAACCAAAAAAGACTCACCAAGAAAATGGTCGAAGGGCAGAACTGTTAGAAAACATATATTAGTGATCAGAAACTCATCATTTTTTCCATATTTATAGCATAGTTTCAGGCATCACTGGATCCATGTAGACAATAATGTACTCTGGTGAAGGTTAGCATGCTTTAAGAACTAATTAACGCCATTAAAAATCCTATCAATAAACATGGATTATGATATATTGTATTATCAATACCCTAAGTATACCTGGATGTAAGGAAAGTAAATATCCTTAAGCCTGCACTGGAGTTGATATATTTTTGAGATGTCAAATTCTGATTCAAATATCTCAACCTAAAAAGAATATAGAACAGCAGTTTCAGATAAGCAGTTGATAACATAACGTAGCTCAGTTATATGAGAATAAATTTGAAAATATGAAGATCAAACTGTCATATGAGTTGAGAACAACACCAGGAGGTTTCTGCACAATCTCTAGAACACACATAATACTTTCAATACAATCCAAGATAAACATAACCTCAATTAAAAGCCATAAAATTCAAGATTTCAAAATATTTCAGAAATAAGAAAGTTTTCCCAAAGAAAGTAACTACTCACAGCAAAAATATTTCCATTTTTAACAGCAGGAATCTGAGGACTGAGGGTTAAGAGTTGATGGACAGAAACTTTTTCAGTGGAAAATATTTTCAAATTGGGTTGTTTCTGCATCTCTGATAGTATATAGACAGTTATTTTTCACGCATATGGGAACAAGGGTGGAAATTTTTGAAAAAGGGTGTACCTTTGTAAAGCTTCCATGAGGCGATAACTCCATTTCCTCCTCCGACGGGTCCCTCATACCACCATCAGTCTTTGAAAGATATTCAGAATTCATTGTTTATATAACATTGACGAGAACAAGAAAAAATAAATGAGTTCAACTTACAGATGAAGAATCATATTACCTTCCAGTTTTTTCCCAAGATAGACCGATTGTCAATCAAGGCTTCTTTCTTGAATTGCAAAGTGAACACTTTCTTGGAATCTTTTGTCTTAGAAGACACCAAAGTACGTCTGACAGAGAAGAGAGTTAGACTTTACAAGACAGTGCAGACAATCATAGGTTGACCTCAACATTTATGGGTAAACAGAAGCTGAAGTCGCACCTTCCCAAGAACATAGAAGCATAAGGACCTCCGTATCCGAACATCCCAAAGTATGGCTACATAGAAAAAGAGTAAATCTCTCTTCAGATCAGTAAAATAACAGGTAGTTATACAGAAAGAACATGCCTACGGAGTTGTCCATATTTTGACTAAAGGTACTTAATTATCCATCTAATATTTTAAACACAAAAGTTATAAATTGCAAGCAGAAAATGAACATAATCTCTTTGCGAGTAATGAATTACCTTAAGGTATGGTGGCTTGCCTCCAATAGCACCGGTTTTTTGAGATCTATGTATTGAGGCCCCTATTTTACCCCTGCGCAATTTAAACCAAATGTGAAGAATGTTTACCAAAAAATCAAACCTGCAGTATCAATTGGAGTAAAGAACACTTGATTGCAATATCAATCTCAATACGTAAAATATGTGAAGTTGTTTGTTCTATAGAATAACTTTCTCAGTTCAAAATCATAACCCATTAGCCAACCCTAGAGATCGTATGGGACTATGGGTTATCAACATCTTCCATGTTTTGTGAGCATTTGAATGAAACTGAAGAAATAATCTCACCATTTATCAATAGAATTTTCCTCGCTACTGTCCATTCCTCTCCCGGTATCAAAGACTGTAATCCGGTCACCAGAAATATCCACACTGTAAAATAATCACATGAATTGAAGGATTACACTTAATTTTGGTCATCTAACCTCCTATGATAAAAACAAACCTTATCAGTTTTCGAGCTCCTTCACGAAAAGGCCACACAGCTTGCAAGGAATTGTCCTGTGAATCAAGCAACAGAAAATTTAGGATTCCATATCAGGAATAAACAAGAAAGTTAACATATGCAAAACCCAATCACAATAACAGATACAGAGAAATTGTTACTAATCGAGAGTAAGTGAATCCATTTACGAAAAAATCTCGTTTACTGTGAAACACAATGTATTTTATTTCAGAAATAAAACAAGCAAATACAACCATGTGAATCAGCGAGAGCTGCCTCAAACAAACATAAATTTTCCATTAGGCATTCTATCTTTTCAGGTAATTTTACTGGAACACTTACTATTAGATCCGCGAGAGCTGTCTCAAAGCTATAATTTTCAGGTAGTTCTTTAAGCAGATCAGTATCAGGTGTCAAATCCCACAAGTTCTGCAAAAACAAGCGTGAAACATCATCACAGACCAACTTAAGGAGATAATGAGATGGCAAGCATATATGTTTCAGATAAAAATACTAACCTCATACATGGTGAAAGCTATACCAGAGCCGTCCTGATCCAGAGATAGAAATTGAGGCAGAGAATATCAGAAATAAGAAGATAGAAATAGTTCAGGCACATATCTCAGTTTCCTCCGTTCATTCTCATGGATCAAAGATATTATGAACAAATAGAAAGTATAAATTAAAAAAAATTTGAAACCAATTGTCAAAGACTTGGACAAAAGGAGAACAACAACAACAACTCACATCAAGACGTATAATATGGCACAAGTTGGGCTTAAACGCAGCAAAGCGAACAATGCCTTTCATCTTATCACCATTTGACTCAAGATAAAACTTTCCGCCTGAGTTCCAATCAACCTTCGTCCTCTTAGACAACAAAACACAATCTTTACGCGCATTATCGTACTCCTTCTTCACCAGGTTGACAAAATTCTGCATCGACATCTCAGGGTCTGGGTTATTAACAGTGAGTTTCACACTAGTGCCGTTAGGTAGAAGGACCTTGAAGCTGTAGAATATATCTTCATCTTCATCATCATCAAGAATCAATGATCTCTTCACTGATCGCCTGCTGCTCATCTGAAATGCAAAGACAGAAACAACATGAAACTGAATAGCTTAGAATTACAATTTAGACACGATAAGGATTACAGTGGAAGCTAAACATGGAAATCATTGATTCCTAAGAACACTAATGGAATTAGTCACACAGCTATCGAATGGGCTTGTATGAAAATGGCTAAAGAATGGGTTTTTGATCACTATTGATAACTTACTATAAAGAACCTACAAGAATTACAAGACAGACAGGCTATAACTTTTGTCAATAACAAACGCATAGGCTTCTTAAAAAAGCAGGAATTTAAGTAAAGAGAGTCTCGAAAAGGAAGAAGAAGAAGAAGAAGAAGAAGAAGACAACATGGTAAGTAAAGTACTCGCATTTATATACACTGCAAGGATATGGAAGAAGACAGAAAAAAAAAAAAAATGGGTACTTGCAAAACAGAGACTTTATGCAAACCTAACACAAACCAAATCTTAGGGTTTAGTTGCCAAACAATTCCCAACCAAGCTTCGATTTTCAGAAAAAGCTAGAACCAGCAACAACAACACAGAGATCAGAGAGAGAGAGAGAGTATACCGTAGGTTCGGTGACTGATTTCTGTCCGACAAAACCCAAGAGACAAAATCTGACAGAAGAAAGAAGAAGATGATAGTGAGAATCAAAACGAAGAAGCGCAAACGACCAAGAACAAAACCCTATGGAGCCAAATATTTGTAGTTATAGTGCCGATCAAAGTATAAAGTTCACTTTTTTTTCCTTTTGAGAAGCTGTAGACGAGAAAAGTTTCAATTTTTTTCTTTTTCAAAACATAATATTGCGAAAAATCAGAAAGAACCATTAAAAACCACAACACATTTCTCTGAAATCAAAGAAAAAAAAAAAAAAAAAAGTCGACTTTTTTAAGAAAAAAAAAATCTCTCTGAAATCCTTATTGAGAAGAAACAATGGGAGTGATAATTTACCTTTAGAGTTACTCTCTGATTCTAAAACCCTGAAAAAGTGTGTTTTTTTTGTTTGGAAGAAACGACAGAGAAACGTTAAAGAAGAAGAAGAAGAAGAAGAAGAAGAGAAGAGGAAGAGACAGTGTGTGTGTGAGAGAGAGAGACGGGACTAATGGGTGTGAAAGCTTCGGGCACACGCAGTTTCTTTATCACACGTCACCACAATACTTTCTTCTTTTTATTTGTCGTCACATCAAATTACCCTAAACATTGTATTTACATTTATATCTTTAGCATTTAATTTGATATTTTTTTGAGTAAAAATTGGGAGTATAAAATCGTCTTATTAACTTATTTTACTGACATGATATATGTGGACTGTGTGTATTGATCAAAATTTCTTTACCTTTTCTTTCTTTTTACAAATAAAATAAAATAAAATCCATTTTTTTAAGTTTTAATGGCTTTAGTGGAACAACGGGTTAACTAGCTTGGTTACAAGTTACATCAAATATGTAAAGACTAAAAGTTGTTGTATATGCATGGTTCACAACTATCAGTTTATCAGTTTGGTTGGAATTTTTCAGAGTGAGATTGGTAATCATAGTTTTAAGATGGCAATGGGGAGTTGGGCAGGTCAATGATGTTTATGATCAATAACGCACTATTTGAGAAGTGAATTAAATTCTTTAAACAATAGTTATAAATATAGATAATTTAAAAATTAAATACTACAGGAAAACAAGCCTTTTGCGACTACTTTTTGTGACTCTTTTGTTGGTCGCAACTATTTACGATGATATTGTTACCATATAGTGACTCTTTAACGACTACGTTAAAAGTAGACGCATATTTGTCGCCAATTTACGACGCCAACGATTAGTCTCTGCTTAGTCGCCAATTACCGACCATTTTGCTACGATTTTAAGACCGGTCCAAAAAAGGTCCTATTTTGCGACTAATTTGGGACGGAAAGAACAGGGTTACAAAACATCGTCGCTAAAGGGTCACAATATAGGACTTATTTGTTACTTTTTTTTATCGTCACAAATCCGTCGCAAAGATCTAGTGACTATTTAGCGACTAATACCTGAGACTGGGACTCTTTTCTCACCTATTAGCGACTCCCGATATTTAGATAAACATTTACCATGTTAGATTTTGAATTCTCGTAATATTAAATGTGTTTAGTATGATCTTAACAATTATAGACAGTGAATACATCGTATGCCATACAAAACTTCATGTTTTCTAATGTGATCTCAAATATCTAAAACATTACATAATCATATAAGTAATGTTTACTAATACTTTGGAAATGTCCTAAATTCATTGAATTTCATGTTTTCTCTAATATAAATGATTGATCTTGTTGTGTATTGTAATATTATTGGTTCTAACACTATAAATTGATTTTCTTTGGTTCTAAAACTTTTAAATTCATAAGAATAGGTTTGTGACCCTTAAGAAAATCGTCACAAAACGGTAACTAATTTGCGACGGAAACTTATGAGAGTTACAAATAAGCCTTAAATTACCCACATATATGCTACTTATTTGCGACTAACACCTGAATTTGAGACGATTTTGTAACCGTTTAGCGACGCTCGCGATTTTATTTTGAGATTTACCAATAGAGATTTCTCAATATGTTAAGTTTCAAGGTTTCTACATTAATTTGAACTATTGTAGGTATTGAATCATTCTAATAGCTTAAGTTTTATATGATTTATAGAAACATTACATCATAAACTTAAAACAAACTCATTCGACACTTAGTTATTGTCGACACTTAGTTATTATCGACACAACTCTTAAACAAACTTCTAATCATAAAATTATATCATAAACCAAAATTTAAATATTAATCAAAACTAAAATCCAATACTTAGACGACTATCTAACAAATCTAAAATAATGTCTTGTAACTCATGAGTGTCGTCACAAAAGTGTCACTCTATTGCGACCGACTTGGGACCGGTTTGTGATTTTTACCAAAATTTAGGGTTTTCGATTAGGCGGCAATTAATCCCTCGTGTTTTTTTAGGTGCGACTAAGTTGACACGGTTTTGCGACTCCTTTTCTTTTATTTCTACCACTGCAAAGTCACAAACACAAACACTTAGCTTCTTTCTTCGATATCTCCGCCTCTTTCTTCGATTTCTTCGATTCTTCCTCTTCCATTCTCTTCGATTCTTCCTCTTTTCTCATCGATTCTTCCTCTTTTCTTCGATTCGATTACTCATCTCTTCGATTCCTCTTCGAAGCTTCTTCAATTTGTTCCTTCTCTCTCACTCCTTTCTCTCTCTGTTCTCTGTAATGGCGCCTGCCGGAAAGGGGAAAGCAAGTAGAGGCCGTGGTGGTGGGAGATCCGGAGTGAATGCAGAGAAGAAGGGGCCGACGTGATGCTGAGATTCGATCGAACCTACATGCCTCTCTTGCTTATGAAACTCGAATTGAAGATTCGTTCTCTTTGTGGTCTCAACAAGCCTAAGTGTATTGAATGCGGCAACGTCGCTCCAGCCTCCAGGTAAGTCCCTTTCTCTCCTGCCCTTACTTAAACCAATTAGAAAGACTTCTATTGTTTAAGCCTATTTTGAGAAAATACAGTAACACTAACCTTCACTCTGTTGTTTTTTAGTATTCTTCCTTGAAGTGTGTGGAACAATGTTTGACTCTCACTATGGATTTTTTTTTAATTGAAAATGGTAAAGATAGGGATTCTGACGCAGGTGAGTCCCTTTGATTTTCTGATAGTTTTTCATGAAGTGCAAACATGAATTGTTACCTAGAGGAAACCATAGTGAATTCTTTAATAGCAAACATTAATCCGGTTTAGTATAAGCAGTGATCTTTGAAATCTGCAGACTTTCATGTGGAAGATTCAAAAATAACATTGAATGTTTGTTTGAGTAAACAAGGAGAGGGAGGGGAAATATTTTTTGCAGGCACACAATGCAAGAAACATATGGATACAGATTCAAAGCCAGAGGTATAGATGTTACTTCTTTTTTCAATTTGCTTCAGTTGGATTTGTGATCCGTTTAACTGTCTATAGGTAAGCTTTTTACTTACCTCTCTATTTGACGTTTTCAGCAACTAATTTGCATATCCAAGAAGCTTTTTTTTTCTTCATAATTTAGGGATATATTGTGTTAGTGTGTAAACATTTATCTAAATTTGCATATACACGAAGTAATTCATATATATTTGCATATACTAGATTTGACAATCAATCTTTGTTTTTTCACAATCTCTGATTTTTGAAGTGACTTGGATACTGAGAATTTTTGTAACTATGCTCTTCCTTTTCAGGTCAGGATCCTTCACTCGCTAAATCATCCAAACATACTCAAGTTCTATGATTGGTAAGACTTACTAGCTAATATCCACGACATGTTTTCTTGCAGGCCAATTACTCTCACTCTTCTTTGAAAAAACGCAGCTTCTTGTGTTCTCTGTGAAGTATGTTCTTCATGGTAATTCATGGTCTCTAGTTAAGTTGTGTTCGCTTTTTTTTTTGTCTCAGATTTAGCTGTAGTAGGCAGTGGTAAGAAACTTTTCTGCTCCAAATACCTTTTCTAGCTTATCCATTCCCTGCTTTTTTAGATTTTGTTTATTCATTCTATGAAGAGAATGCTTGACGTGATGCGGAGCAACAAGCATCTCAAACTCGGATTGCAAACTTGGAGAGGCTTGTTATGTATTGGAAAGAGAGTGATCCTGCCTTTGCAGCTTTTGTTGCATCTCAGCCACAACCAACTGCACCAGCCAACACACAAGCCCCCAATGCAACAGCCACCGCCAATGCACCAGCCACTGCACCAACAGGAACCGTCGCAGCCACAACAACACCTTCTTCATCCTTCTAAGTGCTTTTGTACTTTTTTTTCTCTCTTATGAACATGATGAATATTGTTAATGTTTAAGGTTATGTAAGGCTTTTGATTACATTAGGGCTTTTGGTTAGCAACATTAAGGATTTGATTAGCAACATTTGGATTTATATGAATTTGATTTTGTTATTTTTAGAATAAAAATATAGCTTATTTGCGACTAATTAATAGTCTCTCAAAACCCAAATTAGTCTCAATTAAACGACTGTAATGTTTGTCACTAATTAGTCGCTAACTAACAGGCGTAGCTAAGACGTCGTAAATATACGACTCTTAATGCCAGTCTTTATGTCGTCGCTTATCTACGATGACATAAATAAGTCTCAATACCGTCACAAATATGCGACTACAATGCGACCATTTAATTTAGTGACCGTTTTTTAGCGACCAACTTTAGTAGTCGCAAAGAAGTCGCAAACAACGATTAGCGACCGTTTAAGGACTCGTTTGGGAGTCGCAAAAGACATGTTTTCTTGTAGTGAAGTAACAACCAAATAAGGGATTTTGTTTGTTGCAACAATTAAACTAGTTTAGATGTTGATATTTTTTTTGCTATTAATCTCAAAGATTTGAAAAATCAAAGCAAAGAATAAGAAAAATACATGTGACTAGTATGAAGTATCAGTCTAAAAAGGCTAAAAACCCTAACTATTTTCATGCGGTTTTTTTCATTCCAAACTCTAACCCCGTGCATTTATCAACCCGAACCCACAATATTTTCAAATAACAAACCTGAATTATATAACCGTTAGCCAATTTCAACATAATTTTTTTTGTATTTGTTAATGTCGATTAGAAATTTTAAGTCGTAATTATTTGTTCTTTTCGTATCCGAATCATTCTTTTTATTCAATTGACTAACGGTTACATAATTCAAGCTTATTACATTATTTAATAACGGGTATATGTTGAAATTGGCTAATATTTACATAGTTCAGATTTCTTATTTGAAAATATTATGGATTCAGGTTAATAAAAGCATGGGGTCAGAGTTTAGATTGAATAAAACCGCATAGAAATAGTTTTTGAAGAACGACATGTAAAGGTGAATAAAGCAGAGAATCCTCATCAGCTTCATCAAAAGCTTCTCAAACTAAAATGTTTGTCAACGTTTCCTTCCCGTCCACGAGTGCATGGATCACGTACATCTTTATTATTTTAGTTTGAGAAGCTTTTGATGAAGCTGATGAGGATTTCTCTGCTTTATTCACCTTTACATGTCGTTCTTCAACAAACATTGGTCGCCTTAAAAGCTCTTCAAACTAAGTTGATTTTGGCCTTTTTCCCCTACTCTCCTTGCCTCACGCGTAGGCAGAGATTTATGTTGCACACTCGTCTCCATGGTTAGTCCACGTGGATCCGACTCCTCTCCTTTTTCATTTTTCAATTCAACACCAAAAATCCACATCATTTAAACACTTATTCGAGAACTTAATTACACTCATATATCCGATAATGGAATTTTTTATTAACACTCCCATTATAAATGGGGATAAAACGAGCGGTTAAAAGTATTTTCTGTGATAACTTGAATCGGAAAATGATAAACGCATTATACTTGTTGTAGTGATTGCCTATTTTCTAAGCATGTCCAATTGTCCTCATATTTGATATCCTCCCAAACCTCATATTGGCTTTGTCAAAATCGTCTAGATTTAAAGATACATGATGATATGATGATACAACGACAACAAAACTATTAGTTACTATATGATTTTAACTAAACTCAAAGAGAATCCATCATCAAAGAAAAACCTCAAACATCTTTATTCCAAGAAAGCATTGGTTTTAATTTTAACCTTTAACTCTTTACAAAGTCCACTAAGCGTATTCCAAGATAACGGAAAAGAGATTTAGTAAGTAATTAGAACAGAAATATACGACGCTGGTCTGACCGGTTCTTAGTTCCACCTTTCACTACATTAAAAGGAAGTAAACCGGCACTCCTCGGGTTTAGTTCCATAACATGGTGAAGTTATACTGATCTGGTCTAAACCAACCAAACTGAGCTTACCGGTATACTCTCCCATAATATCTCCGACAAAGTATGAAATTCCGCAAGAAGCAACAACAGTAGACGTATAATAAGCCGCAGATTTGAGATAAGCTTTAGTCAATTCACGTGAGTTTGGCGGTTTTCGGACATAGACCTTGATCATACCGAGCAAAATCACGCACAGTAGAGAAACCAAGAAAACCGAGATGAGCTTGTAGTTCTTGATTCCGGTCTCGTAGAAAGAAAATGCGTAAACCAATGGAGGCATTATGCCGAAGAAAATGTAAGACATCACCGCTACTAAGATATGTATCCGGAAATTAGCACGTCTCCCTAACAATTCCTCGTACCGATCTTTCTCTTGATCTGAACTGTTTCTTAGATCTTGAAGCTGCAAGAAAAAATCAGAACCGGTTAAAACAAGAAACCGCAGAAGCAATCTGTGGTGCGAGACAAAACGTTTTTCGGTTCAAGTAATTACGTTTTGAGCTAGGACGATGAGCCCACCGGCCAAATTTGCGACTGCAAGAGCCAAGATATTCACTGAAACAACAAAAAATTTAATAGATGAAATCATTATATAAAGTGTTTATTACTTTTATAACAAGGACCAATCTGATGATTAGCCAATAAACTAATCGCTCGCATTTGTTTGCTAAATAAAAAAGAAAATGAAGACTGGAGACTTACTGGTGGAGGAACCGGAGGCAGAGGCCGAGGATACAACGCCGAGGCTGGTGATGGTCTCAGTGAGACCGCCGTAGACAGTGCTCTTTAACAACTCAACGGCGAATCTTTCTCGGTCCGGTTGAATTTGTGTCGGTGATTGTGTGGTGTTTATACTATTCCTCATGATCACCTCTATACATTCTTCAACTGCATATAATTTTCAAATTTTCTTTGAATACAAAATAAAAATACTTCTATCGAATATTCAAATACCAAAGCTCCTATAAACATTTTTCTGCATGTTTTCATTAAAACCGCTGTTGAGTTTTCCCAATTCGGAATCAATTTGTCTAGTCCGGTTTAGGTGAGAGAACTATTAAGTAATATTTTTGTTTCAGTTCACGATAACATACCTGGTTCCTCAACTGGTTTTCCCGTGATATAATCAAGTTGTAAGAACCTTGTTCCTGAAACTTAGAATCAAATTTATAAGATCAAGCAACCGCGGATATAGAATTGATTCAGAACCGGTTAAGAAAAAGTTTGATTTACCTAACCGGATGAAGTACTTTAGACAAGCCAAGCAATTGAAGATAATTCCCTCCTCTTTATCTTCTTGATTATCATCCTCAATACGAGTCTCAGGGACATGAACCTTAACCGGTGGCTCCATCTCCTCAATGTGGCTTGGTTCAACGACGGGTACATCGGGTTTCAGATCCGGAGACGAATCAACGTGCTTCCCTCGTTTTCTTTTCTTGAGAATCACTTTTCTGGTGATACATGAGCTACAGCTTGGACAATAGAGCTCGTACTTTTCTTGTGTCGCAAGCAACTTCTCTAGATTTGACTTCTCTTCTGAATCCGATGATGATCTCTCCTTCTTTTCTTCATCCTCTTCTCCAAGCTCGTAGTTTTCTTGTGTTGCAAGCAACTTCTCTTCTGAAACTGATGATGATCTCTCGTTCTTTTCTTCTTCTTCCATCTCACAATCTTCTCCGTTCTGTTGCCTTTCGTTTTCTACTTTTGGTAAGTTTGTAGAGCTCGACTCTAACCAATTATTACCATTTTCTTCGTTTGAACCGGTTCCTTGGTTTGAACCGGTTTCATTGTTCGAACCGGTTTCGCTCACAGTAGTCTCGAGTATTATTGGATCTGAACTGGAAAATAGCGATGATGTACTTTCACGAACAGACGTGTTTCCTACGAGAACAACTAAGATTAAAATAAACGAGAGATTGATCTACACCGGTTATGCAAAATTGTGTCCGGTTGGAGAATTAGGGGTAATTTAAGAAATCCTAAAAGTAGTAGACGCAATTGAAATTTAAGAGATATAGAGGTACCAAAAATTAAAAGACAAAAAAAACATATATGAAAATGACAAGTTGACTAATGAACCTTGTTGAGCTTGAGATCCATCATTGTCCTCTTCGACTTCCACCTCTATCTCGGTGGTGTTGACCGGCGCCGGCGCCGTCGCTGCCGCCTTGAATCGAAATTCTCGGGCTGGAACATTATCCTTACCAAATCTATAGCTCTCAAGAAGATCAACCAAACATTCTGCATCTACGAGTTCTTTGTCGCCGTCCTTCAATTCGGACCAGCTTGCATTAACTGGTCCGTTTGACTTTTCCATATCAATCCCAATGTAATGAAACCGATGCCAATGTTCTTTAATGAGATTATGAGTTATGAACTTATGATGGAGTTTTCAGATTTGTGACTCTTTTGTTTTTCTCTTTCAAAAAAATACAGGTGTGCCTTTTATCCACTCCAATCATATAAACTTTTATATACATAAATAATACCCACGAGGAAAGCACGAGGGGTTAAATATTTGTAACGAATGACTTCAAATCCTTATCTAATAATTCACAAGTCATTTAACTATTAACTGCAGCTCTCTCCATTTGACATGTGACTTAAGTCTTAAATTTTTATCTTTTACCTTTTCAAACAATTAAAATTAAATTTTACTTTTAAATAGAAAAAAAAAATTACGACAAAAATATTTTTTTTTAAGCAATCGGTACCCCTCTCTTCCCTCCCTCCCACGATCTCAATCTCTCCCACCACTTTAATTAACGAATTTACTGTCGTCATCCATATAAACCAAAAGTAATAACATATGCATTACTTCTTCTTCTTCTCTTTTTTTTTCTCCATAATCTTAGTTCCTCCATTCTTTCTTCTAAATCCTCCAATAAAACTGCGAGCAACTAAGAAACGTAAAAGAGAAATTATCGACTTGTCTCTCTCGACATTTCAAACATTGGACGAGTTTAGTAACATCAAATCTCTCTGGTTTGTTTTCTCTTCCATGCATGTCTTAGATGAGTGGGTCTCTGATTTTGTCTGCCTGAAACTTTTCTTTTACTTTTCGCAATACGTTTATTTTTCTTCCCTTTACTTTTCTTTCGCTCTCGGTTTCACACTAACTTGAAGATTTATGGTTGTGTCAGAATGGCAAAAACAATGAAAGCTGAGGCGTTCGCGTCGGCCTTCGTACGTGGTGCCTAATGTGAGGGAGTCCACCAATATGACGTTAACATCCGACGTGACGGATCTTAACCGGCTACGTTTGGTCCACCTAAACGTGGGTATGATATTGATATCATTGAATCGTTGGCTATGCTTTCTAGATTTGTTGCATTTTACTTGGTTTATCTTCTCACACTTTCTTTGAATCTTTATTTTTTTTTTGAACAAGAACCATTTTATGGAATAAAAGGAACGCTTACAACAGAAAACCTGCAACTTAAAGCAACAACAAACGACACAATCAACTTTCTTTGAATTTTGATGTGTTCATTGTTCTTAAATATACTAATTAAATGATTTTGGTTTATTGTCATCAGAGATGCTTGTAAGTGCGGATGAGGTAATAATAAAGTGCATAAAGTAAACGAGAAAAGAAATTTGTTAACGAGGTTCGGTTTTTCCTACTCTCCGGGACCAAGTCCAGATTTCGATTTCACTAGAACAAAAAAGCAAATTACAACCAATTCGCAAACGCGTAAAACAAGCCCAACTCTCTTGATTTAGCGCTCCCTTCTATAACGTGAAACCTTAAGGATAAATCTCTACTCTTAACTAAACTCTCCTGAGCCTAGATTTAATCAGGATAACCTAACCCTAAGCTAAACTCCCCCTGAGTCTAGACTTCAATTCTCCAAAGTTTCTCGAACGACCACCACACACGAATCGTCACACCAATGAACCAAATGGTCACCAAAACTCTCCAACAAGAACCTTCAACACCAACACACAAATAAGCTTGATCACACAAGCACAAACCCGCGAAACTACGTCGCACACGATCACACACACAATCTCTCACATCGAATCTCCTTGGGATTTTTACTCTTGCAAATCCGCTTTCTCATAAGGTCACGTCCCCCTTATATAATAAACAGAAACTTGCACCTCAAGTTCTTCCAATCACACATAAGAGAAAGTTTCTAAATCCCATAAGAAAAAGGTTTTCCTTTTTGCCAATTTCCTTTTCACTTCAAGCAAACTTCCTCTTTGCTTACATGATTCCTTTTGTCTTCAAACAAAGATATTTTCTTTTTCCTTGACTTAACAAACGCTCCAACATCCAAGTACTCGAGCTCCTCATCATCAGTTATGCATCTCATCTTCCTGAATCACATCTTGTACTACTTTCTGTACTATTTCAATGACTAGTACAGAACACCAAAATAATTGCATCTTCAATGCTATGCTTTGGTGAATTCAGAAGGACAAGAGTTTGAAGAGAATATTTAAAGTGGAACTACAGGAAAAAAGAGAAGCACGAAACAAAAGCAATTCATTAAGACAACATCATAGAATTTTTGCATTGATAAAAGGTTCTCGAATTGTGTTGTGACATAGCATTGATGGAGTTCATTAAAACTCCCATTTTTTATGTTTTTTTTTATTTGTCTTCTCCAGCTTTTGACTACACTGTCAAAGACAACAATATATTGAAAAGTAATTATAACTCTTACAAAACCATCAACGTTTTCACTATACTCATACTTGGCATGCACAACTTTTCCGAGTCCAATTTTGATATATATATATATATACTTCTATGATTATATCACAGTCAGTACCGTGCATAGCACGGGCTCAACACTAGTAGCTTTATAAATTACTTTTGGAATTTGGTAATTAGGGAATGTGTCAACGTTAATTAGCACTCTATTTGCAACTAATATTTCCAATGTAAATCTCTTTTTTTTTTTTTATCTATCTATAATATAATAACTTTAAAATAGGGCATGATTTCTCTCTAATGTATGATTCTATATGTTACTCTAAAATAGAAGTAGTGTAAAAAAGTTAGAGTTGTTTCATATATACAACAATTCTATCATTTACTCTATTTTAAAGTGACATATAGTAAGGTTGGAGAGAATGTACTCTATAGTAGAGTTTTAGAGAAAAAATAGAATGGAGTTGAAGATGTTCTTAGTATATGTCAGTTTCGAAAAAAAAACAAATGTGTTAATATGGGTCATAAGTTGCTATATTGATTAAATACAAACCATGAGAGTTCCACAACATTCGTTAAAATAATAGTTACAGAAAAAATGAATCTCACACAATAGAATAATCTTGGGATGGCTCTTACAATTTAACAAACTCATCATTATTGATATGGAAAGTGGGAACGTTACAGTTAGTTGGAAATAACGAACCATATTCAAAACGTGTATAATTTTAATGACTTCTTAATTATTTTGAAGCCCATTAACATTTGTTTCTTTACGAGGCCGGTTTTAACATTTCACAAAATTGGCCCATATTGAAACTAAACCAAAACTTCAGCCCAAACCCCAATAATCATCTTTAGTGCAGCTTCTATGACTTTATCACATAGAACTGGAGCCCACTAATTTCCACGTGGCACAATGTGAGGCTTCAATTTCGGCAAGAAGTGTGTGATCTTTTTTTTTTACTCGTAAACTCGTTCTTAATTTTCGCGCTTTTCTGATAGATCCTCTTGGGAGAATAAAATCATTAAAATATCAGAGTTGAATTTTATAACATCAAAGCCAAAAATTGCATACATCGGAAAACTGTTGCAAATTGTTTTTGTTTATGTTTTTTTTCTTTTGGACAAAAAAGAAAATGAAAAAGAAAATGTTTAAGGAATAAAACTAAAATTGATTCGGTTTCCTAAAAGATCCAAATTTTGAAGGGAAAGAATAAAGGTTTTAAGTGTACTCTGTGGTTTAACTTTAAAGTTTTGGAAGCATGTCGGCGAAGCTTGAAGGAGATTCTTTACGTAGTAGATAGGCCACCGGTGGTTTCAATCTTCCCCAACAACCAGACGAAATCGAACATATATCTGTAACCATCGAAGAAACTCTCACTCTTCAATCCATCAATGGCGTCTCTTCAGATCAGTGGCTCTGTTAAATTCGAGCCGCTCGTTGGATTCAACCGGATCCGTTATTTCCGTCCGATCGGCAGTCTCGGAATCCCTCGTTTTCGCCGGAGATTCAGTATCGGACGTCCATTGTTGCTTCGTCGTTCTTCTTCCTTCTCCGGCGATAAAATCGGTGAGTCTGTTGGTGATGAAAAAGGATTTATCACTGACGCAGAGAGAGATGGCTCTGGCTCCGTTCTTGGATTTCAGCTCACTCCTACTGGTAAATTTCGTGATTGAGTTTCGTTGAATCTTCCTCAAATGGTTTATTTAGAAACAGTGATTTTGTGTATGATTTAGGGATTCAATTTCTGAAGTAGAGTAGCACAATTTGTTCAGAATGTCGAAGATGAACTCGATTTTGTCCTTGTACAGGTGATCAAGAAATCTTTAGCACTAGCACAGGAGAAATTACGCATCAAGAGGAGAAGAAAGAGGCTATTGATGAAACAGTAATGGCGGATTTTGGTGTACCTGGAAATAGAGCTGTTGAAGAAGGAGCTGTAGAGGTTGGAATTCCGAGTGGGAAAGCTGAAGTTGTCAATAACCTTGTTTTTGTGACGTCCGAGGCTGCTCCTTACTCCAAAACAGGAGGATTAGGAGATGTTTGTGGTTCTTTGCCAATAGCTTTGGCAGGACGTGGGCACCGTGTTATGGTCGTTTCTCCTCGGTACCTCAATGGAACCGCTGCAGACAATAACTATGCGCGGGCTAAGGATTTGGGAATACGTATCACAGTAAATTGCTTTGGTGGTTCTCAGGAAGTTTCCTTCTATCATGAATATAGAGATGGTGTTGATTGGGTAACCACTAATCTCTTCTTGCATAGATATAGAGATGGTGTTGATTGCTTAACAATTTTTTTTTTTTGATAACTGTTTTTAGGTTTTTGTTGATCACAAATCCTACCATAGACCTGGTAATCCGTACGGAGATAGTAAAGGAGCCTTTGGTGACAATCAGGTACTATTGTTGATGGGAATACCGTTAACATTGTCCAAAGAAAGGATTTGGTTTATAATTGTATCTTCTCTTTTATAGTTTTATTGTGTGAATGTTGTGTTTTAAGTCATGACGTGGTATACTAAAAACAACATAAGTGCCTCGTCTCACACATTTTGTGATTCCAGTTTCGGTTCACGTTACTTTGCCATGCCGCATGTGAAGCCCCTCTTGTGCTGCCTCTTGGAGGGTTCACTTACGGAGAGAAATCTCTCTTCCTTGTCAATGACTGGCATGCCGGCCTTGTTCCCATGTAACCTTTTTTTGTTCTCTTTACCTTATACGTTAACTTTGAACTGCTGTGCAGAATGGCAGACTTTAAATTTGTG